TACATGTACGCCATGTATGTGTATGGGTAGACTTGCAGTGTTGGCGCATTGTACAACAAGCTCACATAGTTTAATAAGATTGGAACTGGGTTAGGGACTTCTGTCTTCCCTATGAGTTGTGTTGGGGGGTGGGCGTGCATGAAGGGAGGCTCAGCCAATCTCATTGTACACATGTTGTTGTCTGGCAATAAAGGTAATAATAATGATATACTTTCTTTTGAGAGCAGGCAACAGAATTTTATTTTTTATGTGGGCGAGTGTGCTTGTCAACTCATAAAACATGTTGTATACATGTTTTATAGTTGTCAACAGAAAGAAGGGGGGAGTTTCAAAGAGGAGGCGGCAGTGTGGAATCAAAAGTACATTCCATTCATATTTTCTTCAGAGACTGATTAGATGACTGAAGCTTCTGCTGCGCAAAAAACTAATTGAACAGCATGATTGATGACTCTTGGCTATGGACATGTTTCGTTGGATGATACACTCGGGGGTGGGGGGGAGGAAGCAGGATCAAGGATGACAGTGAATTACATATCTCAGAGTTGGCTATGCCCAAGCTAATGCCGGAAGGTTAACTTCTAATAAATCATTTTTAGTTTTGGGAGTGTGGGTCGAGGCTCATGATTTAATTGGAGTAACTGCCAGAATCCTGACAGTGCTCACAGTAAAAAAAAGATAATAAAAGTTATGTTATCCTATCCTATCCTATTTTATCCTATCCTATTTTATCCTATCCTACCTTACCTTATCTTACCCTATCCTACCCTATCCTATCCATCTACTCACATATTTGCATGCTTTCAAACTTCTAAGTTGGCAGGAGCTGGAACAAGGACAGGAGCTCACCCTATCTTGCGGTGCTTGGGTCTCGAACCTAAGGTGTCAGCTTTCCAGCTGACAAGCTCAGTGTCTTTAACTGCTGAGCCATCCTGCCCCCTTGCAAAGACACATCCACCCACACACATGACCACCCAGCCATGCCTACCCAGATGGTTAGTAGGGCAGAGAACCAGTTGTTAAATTGTTTGGTGTGCTGGATGATGTTCATGTATGTGTGTATGCAGGTGACTGTTTTGGAGAAGGAAGTAAACCTTGGTTGCAAATAAATAAAGACATTTCTCAGCATCCCAAACAGCCTTGATCTGGTGCAACATGCCTCTACTGGATACAGTGAACATTTGGACTGTGAATATGGGGGAAAGACCCATAAAGGATTTGCAGAATAGCCATTGGTTGTAAACGTGCAAGAAACACTGCTGTCCATTCTTGACGGGAAGATTTACTGAAGGTTGGGGTGACAGCACAATAGATTCTTTCAGTTCAAATGCAAATACTTAAAGAAGAAAACTATTCAGATAAAGGGCAACTCTGCATTATTAATGCATTCGGCCAGGAGGGAAGCTCGGGCTGCAACCTGAAATCACTGATGAGGCTGGAAAGTTGTCTTCATTCCATGTTTTGTTATTTTAATATTTATCCTTATTTCCATAGAGAAAAATACAACCATGATTGGCTGCCATTCCATCCTGAGCAAGTTGCGCAGGAAAACATTCATCTTAATGGTTAGAATGGACGCCTAGTTCCTTTTTTTTAACTGTGGTCATTCAATCCATTTTGAGACACCAAGTAATGATGACCATTGGATATATTCAAACATACGGGCCTGGTTCAAATGGAGTTCTATTCCTTATTTATACCTGAACATACAACAATGAAAATTTAAAAAGGAAATACATGTTGCAGAATTATGAAAAGCAGTATATATCAAGAGCCATGGTAGCACAGTGGTCAGAGTGCAGTACTGCAGGCACTTCTGCTGATTGCCAGCTGACTGCAATTTGACGGTTCGAATCTCACCAGGCTCAAGGTTGACTCAGCCTTCCATCCTTCCGAGGTCGGTAAAATGAGGACCCAGATTGTTGGGGGCAAGAGGCTGACTCTGTAAACCACTTAGAGAGGGCTGTAAGGCACTGTGAAGTGGTATATAAGTCTAAACGCTATTGCTATTACTATATTCTGTCTGATTAAACCTAATAAGATATGATTAGTTGAATTTTAGAAGCAACTAAGTCACAATTGATGACAGCACCTGGCAACCTAGATTGATCTCAAAAACATGGGCAGGATTGGGCCTGGTTACTATTTGAATAAGAAATGCAGAAAATGGACTGAAATGAAAAGTTGAACAATAATCCCTAAAAAGGAATTGGCAATGCCCTCTCATGTTTTTGTCAAGAAAACTACATAGAAATACACTTAGGTCAGTGGTGGGATTCAATTTTTTTTACTACTGGTTCTGTGGGTGTGGCTTGGTGGGCGTGGCAGGGGAAGGATACTGTAAAATCTCCAGTCAGAGGTGGTATTTGCTGGTTCTCTGAACTACTCAAAATTTCCACTAACGATTCTCCAGAACTGGTCAGAACCTGCTGAATACCACCTCTGGCTTTGGTTAAGCTTGAATTGAGAGAGAACTGAACAACTAAGGCTCCAGTTCTGTACCATTAAAGTGTAACATAATTCGATTTATTTCAGAATCAACCTGAATGAGATTGCGATACAATTTATATTTGGAAGAAAATTGACTAAGAGTTCTACAAGGCTTCTCTCAACCCCGTTTCAAGTGTATGTCCATCCTTGGGACTTTTCAAAGAGACCTCAGCTTGTGGGCTACATTCTTTACTGAAGCTTGTGAAGATAGTGAACGCAAAACATCAAGACACATGCCTACAATGACAGATTTCAACCAGTAATATATTATACAAATATGACCACTCTAATTCTCTACTACTCCCCGCACTTCTGTTTTTGAGGGAAGAATATGCTACAGGGGAAAAGGGAGGGAGGGAGAGAGGAAAGGGAGAAGGAAGGAAGAAAGGAAGGAAGGGGAAGAGAACAGAAAGAGAAAGAAAGAGAAAGAGAAGGAAGGAGAAAGGGAAAGAAGGAGAGAGACACAAAGGGAAAGGAGGAGGAAAGGAAGAAAGGAGAATGGAGACAAAGAGAAGGAAGGAGAAAGGGAAGGATGGAGAGAGAGACGAAGGGAAAGGAGGAGGGAGGGAGGGAGGGAGGGAGGGAAGGAAGGAAGGAAGGAAGGAAGGAAGGAAGGAAGGAAGGAAGGAAGGAAGGAAGGAAGGAAGGAAGGAAGGATGTTGATCCAAGCTCTATAAACAACCTTGGAATACTCATCTCTAATGATCCAAGTGCTAGAGCCCAGTGTAACTACGTAGCCAAAAAGGCATTAAGAGTTGTTAACCTAATCCTATGTAGCTTTTTCTCTGGTAATATCACACTACTAACTAGAGCATACAAAACATTTGCTAGACCAATACTCAAATACAGCTCATCAGTCTGGAAACCACAGTAAGTATCTGATATTAGCACAGTTGAGAAAGTCCAGAAATATTTCACAAGAAGAGTTCTCCACTCCTCTACTCATTGTAGAATACCTTATGCCACCAGACTTGAAATTCTAGACCAAGAAAATCTTGAATTATCCGCCTTCAGTTTGATCTAAGTATTGTATACAAAATCATACATTGCAATGACTTACCTGTCAATGAATACTTCAGCTTCAACCATAACAACACAAGAGCACACAATAGATACAAACTCAAGGTTAACTGCACCAAACTTGATTGCAGGAAATACGACTTCAGCAACAGAATGGTCAATGTCTGGAATACTCTTCCTGACTCTGTGGTTTCTTCCCCAAACCCCAAAAACTTTAACCTTAGACTGTCTACTATTGACCTTACCCCTTTCCTAAGAGGTCTGTAGGGGGCGTGCATAAGTGCACCAACCTGCCTACCGTCCCTGTCCTATTGTTTCTTTTATTTTTCTTATATGTACCCATTTCATGTATTCATAACTATGTATATACTTATACCTATTATCTTGTAAGCGATTGACAAATCAAAATAAAATAAATAAAAAATAAAATAAAATAAAATAAAAAAGGAAGGAAGGAAGGAAGGAAGGAAAGAAGGAAAGAAGAAGGGAAAGAGAGGCTGTACACAGGATTTCTCCTCCTCTTACCAAACATAACTGAAAGGGAAAATATCGTGTTAATATCATGGGATTATCATAACAATCGTGTCTAGTTTAATATAATTTCAATTATATGGATATAATTTTATTCTTGGCCCCATACAAGTTTACGTCTTTTCTCATCTATTATTTAAAACCTTTCTTCCACTCTCAAGCAAAAAAAAAAAAAAAGGATGCCTTTAGTTTCAGGATCCTTTACGTTGAAATCCAAATTTCCCTGCCCCACTGGGAACGTAGACAATTTAAGGAACCTATTTTGGTTTTCCTGACCTGCTCATTTCACGTTTTCTCAGCCAAAACTCCTTGAACTTAACAACAATTTCAGTCTGAATAGTTGTTAGGGAATAAAATAAACAAACAAAACAGAGCAATGAGCCTTGTTATTTTCTATGGCAACAGATTGTATCTTCATTGACATTTCCTTTTTTTTTTTTTAAGCCTTCTCTTTTGACCTGCTCTTCTTTCCTTTGAAAAAAGAAGGCCATAACTTGAAAACACCAAAGCTGTGAATATTCAACATACTGCAGCTCGTTTAGTAAGACATTATGCGGTATAAAGTTATCATTCGGCATAATAAACCATTTCTTAACCCAGTCCCCGAACTGTGCTGGAAACCTGGACGTGTCCGATAGACTTCTGTCTAGAAGCTTAAAAGTATTCTCCACAGACAGGAATGCAGCCCTGCCTCGTTCAGATCGCCTGCTGTATTGCTACATAGCAGCTGCCTCCTCGTGCAGAAGGCAAGGCAGTAAATCCCAGGCAACAGGACAGAGAGAAAGAAGCCAGGAAAAAAGAAAAGAAAAGAAAAGAAAAGAAAAGAAAAGAAAAGAAAGAAGGAAGGAAGGAAGGAAGGAAGGAAGGAAGGAAGGAAGGAAGGAAGGAAAGAAGAAAGCTGTAAACTTAGAAAAGGCAAGAGGCAGCTCAGAAAATATTCGCCGCCCCTCCCATCTTCTAAGGCAGAGGTGTCAAACTCAAGGCCCATGGGCCAGATCCGTCCCATGGGATGCTTAGATCGGGCCCATAGGGCCTGCCTGGAAACAGCAGAGGACCGGCCCACAGAGCCTCTACCAGCAAAAATGGAGGGTTCCGTTTTCAGTGGCAGAGAGCTGCAGGAGGCCATCCATGCCAAAAATGGGGCACATGCGCCCCCACCGAGCTCCATTTTTGCCAGCAGGGACCTATCAAAACAAACTAAAAACAAAACAAAAAGAGAAATGTTTCCCCGTTTGCATTTGAACATGCAAGAAGGGGCAGGAAAGGAGAAAGGGAAAAAGAAAAGACAAAGAAAAAGGAGGAAAGATGGGAAGAGAGCAAGGAAGGAAAAAGAAGGGAAGAAGGGAAGGAAGAAGAAAGGAGAAGGAAAAGGGAAGGAAAAAGAAAAAAAGGAAGGAAGGAAGGAAGGAAGGAAGGAAGGAAGGAAGGAAGGAAGGAAGGAAGGAAGGAAGGAAGGAAGGAAGGAAGATTATAATGGGAGTGAGGAAGGGTCTCAGGGAAGTCCTGCCTTAGCACTTGGCCACCACAGGCGCCCCCAACACAAGTCCCATGTTATGCCCACTACGGCCACATCTCTGGCCACACCCCCAGCCACACCCCACACCCCAGCCCTCTGAGGTCAAACACAACCCTGATGTGGCCCTCAATGAAATCAAGTTTGACGCCCCTGTTCTAAGGGTTCCTCAGCGCTATTTCTCCACCATTACTGAACCATCCCAGAGTAATACGGGGTGGTGGGGTGGGGAGAAGAATTGCAGGTATTTTTTGTCCTACAACCACTCGTTTAGTGACCATTCAGTTACAATGGCAGTGAAAAAAGTGATTTATGACCGCTTTTCACACTTAACGACCATTGCAGCATCATGTGATCAAAATTAGGATGCATGGCGACTGGCTCATAGGTTTTGGCAACGTTTCAGGATCGTGTGATCACCTTTTGTGACCTTCTGTCAAGCAAAAATCAATGGAGAAGCCAGATTCACTTAACAACCGTGTTACTAACTTAACAACGGCAGTGATTCACTTAACAAGAAAGGTCATAAAAACGAGGCAAAACTTGCTTAACAACTGTCTTGCCTAGCAACAAAAATTTGGGGATCAATTGTGGTCGTAAGTCGAGGACTATTTGTATTCTGGTTAGTTAAGGGGGAAAAAAACACCTTGGGATGCCTGAGGGAAGCTGCCATATATCAAAGCCAGGGTTACCCTCCAAGACATTTTCCTAAATGTGGATAAATTTGGGGTTTTAATTGCATGTGGATGGAAACTGATCAAGGAGAGATTCAACCTGGAAATAAGGAGAAATTTTCTGACAGTGAGAACCATGAACCCATGGAACAGAAGTTGCCTTCGGAAGTTGTAAGAGCTTAATCGCTGGAGGCTTTCAAGAAGAGACAGACTGCCCTCTGTCAGAAATAGTGTAGGGTCTCCTGCTTGGGCGTTGGACTAGATGACCTACAACAGGGATATCAAACTCGATTTCATTGAGGGCCAAATCGGGATTGTGTTTAATCTTGGGGGCGGGGTTGGAGGCATGGCCAGGATGGGCATGGCGAGCTTGATGTCACTCTGCGAGACTCTGTTTTCAACTGCAACAGCCTCATGCAGCCCTCTGCCAGCAAAAATGGAGCACACAGCCTCCCCGGGCCTCTGTTTTCACGGCCAGAGGGCTGCAGGAGGCCATCGCGGCTGAAAACAGAGCCCGGGCAGGCCTTCCACAGCCTCCCTGAGCTCCATTTCCATTGGCATAGGCCCCACAGGCCGGTCCTTTGTTGTTTCCAGGGCAACCCCATGGGCCAGATCTAAGTGCCCCACAGGCCAAATGCAGCCCCTGGGCCTTGAGTTTGACATCCCTGACCTTACAACCAGTGGTATTATTCAATTTTTTTACTACCAGCTCTGTGGGCATGGCTTGGTGGGCATGATGTGGCTTGGTGGGCATGGCTTGGTGGGTGTGGCAGGGGAAGGATACTGTAAAATCTCCATTCCCTCCCCACCGCACTAACCTGCTTTCCAGCTCCATTCTCCTGTGCAGGGCAATCAAAGAAGACCCAGCCAATCAGCTGGGACCTGGGAGGCAGAAAATAGGTGGGGGCGGGGCCAACTGGAGATGGTATTTACCGGTTCTCCGAACTACTCAAAATTTCTGCTACTGGTTCTCTAGAACCTGCCAGAACTGGCTGAATACCATCTCTGCCTACAACATCCCTTCCAACTCTGTTATTCTATTCTATTCAAAGATTAAATCCAATCGTGTATTTCCATGGACACAATGAGAATATTAACTATGAATCATGCCCTGTTCTCAAGGCTAACAAGGATGATTCTGGTGACACCTATCATGCACTCAGCACTCAGTTATCTGGATCCAAAATAAGACATGAAAAGTATTGACTTAGCATAATTCTATTCCTGGCTAAAACTGGATTTACACTTTTTCCTGTTAGACATCACATCAAGATTCATTCGGCTTAACGGAACATCTGTCACTGCAGATGTGCCTGTTTTATCTTGCCCTTTCTAGCAGGGTCCATTGTCACAAATGGTATTGTAAATCCTTTGCCATTCTAGTTCTAGCTTCGCTATTCAAGACTGAACAACACTGAGTAAGCCAATTCAATGTAACAGTGATCGCCTTTCTGCTCATTGTTGGTAAGGGGATGTGCTATTATTTTTAATCCTGTGATTAATATGAGCCGGCACTACTGTATGGATTTATTATTGACCATATGGTCATTAATTGCCATGGCTTCCCCCAAGTTGCCGCCCAGAACATCTGCAGCTCCTGCGTGTGGCTGTTTCTTTCTTTGGCTTCGGAAGGCCATCGTAACAGCTTCTCCGGTGGACACAATGGCGGAGAGATGCCTGCAGCAACATGCTCTCCAAAGAGCTATTAAAGGGGAAACAAGCTAAAAAGCATGTTTTAAACCCAAACAACAAGGGAGGGGAAACCATTATCCATGATGTTTCTCATCTGTTCCAGCTGGAGTGATTTTTAATTGCAGGCTGCTACAGAGACATCTCAAAATCAGCAGCTGTTGACAGAGACTTAGGAAAGCAGCGTGAGGAGGATTAACTGTTTCATACGATGTCGAATCTGGTCTGTAGGCAAACCAAATGCCTGCAGGATAGAAGGAATTAAGGAGAAAATGGTTTGGTCCTCAACTGAATGTGAGCTCTTCTAATTGCTCATTTTCTAGCCAAGGAAACGGCCTTCTTCAGCTTGGACACCAGACAAATGTGTTGGTCTTCAACTTTCAAAATTCGCCATCACTGGGGATTTTGAAACCTGAGGTTCAGCATCTGGAGAGCACCCAAAGGGCTTTATAAACAATTGGAAAGTTAATCATCATTTGAAATTGATAAGCAGTTCTCCCAATATTTGTAGTCTGTTTCCCCCAATTATATTTTTTAAATATGTTAGAATTCTACTCCCATATACAGTATATATAAAATTAATGTTCCAATATCTCAGGGGCTGCCACAAAGAAGAAGGAGTCAGGCTATTCTCCAAAGCACCTGAGGGCAGGACAAGAAGCAATGGGTGGAAACTCATCAAGGAGGGAAGCAACCACGAACTAAGGAGAAATTTCCTGACTGTTAGAACAATTAATCAGTGGAACAACCTGCCTCCAGAAATTATGAATGCTCCAACACTGGAAGTTTTTAAAAGAGATTGGATAACCATTTGTCTGAAATGGTATAGGGTTTCCTGCCTGAGCTGGGGGCTGGACTAGAAGACCTCCAAGGTCACTTCCAACTCTGTTATTCTATTCCAGGGGTGTCAAACTCATGGTCTGTGGGCCAGATGCATCACGCGCTGGCCACACCCACCCTCATTTTAGCAAAGGGGGAAAAGTTGTGATATGTCACTTGATGACAACATGATGATGCGAGTTTGACACCCCTGTTCTATTCTAATATACAAAATTGTGATCACCTATGAGAAAAATATATATGCATATGTAATTCAAACAAAACCACAAATGAAAACCTTTAGTATGGAAAAACATCAAAGAGAAGCAATTTCCAGGACAAAATATATTTTAAAAGAGGAAAGAAAATCCTCAAATACAATAACTTGGCACATTCTCAAAATTTAGAAAAACAAAATTGGACACAGTTTGTTAAAATGAGAAACTGAAAGAACTTGTAACGAGACATTTGCCCATGCTTTTGAAGTGGAAGAGTGTTCTGTAGAATTTACTGTAACTTTGCTCATTTTCTTCTAAGTGTGAACCAAAATTGTGCATATCTTTATAAGCAAGATGGAAGGGCTGAGAAAAGGAAAAAAGGAAGAAAGAAGAGAAAGAGAAATGAAAGAAAGAGAGAGAGAAAGAAAGAAAGAAAGAAAGAAAGAAAGAAAGAAAGAAAGAAAGAAAGAAAGAAAGAAAGAAAGAAAGAAAGAAAGAAAGAAAGAAAGAAAGAAGGGGGTAGGGGAGTGGAATAGGGTAGAGTAGAGTAGAGTAAGAGAAGGGAAGGGAGGAGTAGAGTAGAGTAGAGCAGGAGAGGAGAGGAGAGGAGAGGAGAGGAGAAGAGAAGAGAAGAGAAGAGAAGAGAAGAGAAGAGAAGAGAAGA